TTCCCCGGTGCCCCCCCCCCCCCCCCCTCCATTCCAGTTGTTGTATGTCCCTCGGCATCCTCATGTTTCATGGACCTGTATAAGATATGATGACATCACAGGCTCGGGGAGAAGAGGCTGTGGGGACCTGTCCAGCAGCCAGCTGGGGCCGAGGATCAGGCAAGCATATTTTCTTTATTTTCGTCCCTAGACCAAAACGAGCATTTAAGCATTAAGCATTTAAGGGTTAATTTGAATAAATCCTGGAGTTCTTAAACGTTCTGATCAAGTTTGAAAGCTGGCTTTTTGGGACTTGTAGTACTTTCTACAATAATAATAATATCATTATTAATACTTTCACTTGGACAGAAGTTGCTGCCCTTCACTACTTGCTGTGGTTTAGTCTTGGCATCTCACTGGCTAGGTGAGCCAATTACTTCCTATGGAAAATCATATTGTTTTTTTCCTCTGTAATATTAAGGACTATTTTGTGTATATTAGGGAAATAAAATTGCAATAGAATCTTTTTTCATTTCAGACTCTAACCCTAAAAAGCATGAAAAAAATCAAAAAGGTGTGAATACTTATGCAAAGCACTGTAAGTGAATTAAAAAGAACCAAGTTGTTTCTCACCGTGTAATAGACTTGGCTGTAATTAGTGCCTTCACTTATTACTATACTTGAATTCACTGTGATGTTTAATAATAACCAGTCCCCTTTGCTGACAAGAACTTTATTTGTGTTACCGAGTACTGTACTTGAATCAGATCTTGGAAACATGACAATATCTTTCACTGTGTAAAAGAAAAAGTAAAGGTGAAATTAGAGAACAAAGCTCCTTATTATTTGCTTTAAATTATATAACGGTATCATAATTTGTAGTGGTGTACAGTGGGTATAGCAAAAAAGAGATGTTGGACATTATAAAGGCATACTGTACATAGGATAAAGCAAAGCTGAAATGGTTATAGTTTCATGTATGATATAAAGACTAGGTAGAATGATAGGTACGTAGTAATTATTACTACTTATTATAAGTTTGAGTAAACAATTCTTATGTTATCCCCAAACCTGTTCTGTTTAAATTGAGAGTAATATATTCATTAGGGATGCACCAAAAGTTCGGCTGCTAAAACATATCGGCCAAAAATTGCACTTTTGGGAAGATGCTGACAGTGCCATTTTTTGGCCGAAATAGCGGTGCATCCATGATTTCTCTCCTCCCTGCTGGGACACAGAGCAACGCCCATCAGGGAGGAGAGAAATCACGGATGCACCTGATCTGTCATAGGAGGAGGAGAGTGCTGTGAGCAGCCGGCGTCTCTCCTCCCGCACCGCTCAGCCTCCTGTGACAGATCAGGAGAGCGGTGGGGGCAGAGACAGCTTTCATTGCTGTCACAGGAGGCTGAGCTCTCCTCCCGCACCTCCCTGCCCAGCCTCCTGTGAGGCTGGGCAGGGAGGGCCAGAGTTTGCCCACTTCTGGTGTACAGTGCAACTTAAAAATCAGTAGTTTTATGTGAATTAAAATGTGGATTATAGCATGTGCAAACCAAAAAAAACAAAAAAAAAAAACCTTGTCTGCGAAAGGGTCAAAGGGTTAAGAAACTCTGCTTTAGTGCATTTAACATGTTCATTGCAATGGGAGAGCAATTCTGCTTCCAAAGTTGTTTGTTTAGCTGATTTGGCTTTCAAAACACAAATTAGCAGGATGATGGAGCAATGGCTTGATTAGCATTTCCTTCAGCCAATGAAAGTTGAGTCTGTATGTAACATGGCAATATAAACATACCTGAATGGATATATGGACCAAACGAGAGATTACAGAACTGTGTGTCGAAAGGAAAGCGGTAAATGTTCAAGTTACAGGTACTGACAATCCGCATAGGCTTTGCATTGATGATTTTTCCTTTGTATGTAATATTAAAATATGAAATAACAGACGCGCTGTTATCATTTTCTATCCTGAAGAATAGAGGGGATAGTTTAATATTCTGTCAACCTTAGAGAAAGTCATAATAAATATACTGTGTGTGCGTGTATGTGTGTATATGTGTATATACTGTATACAGTGTATATATCTCTATATATATATATATATATAGAGATATATATATATATATCTCTATATATATATATATATGGAAAACAACCCTTTTGTGTTTAGGGCAGAGTTATGGATTGGGTTTATCTGCTGCCTACACTGTTTTATTTTAAAAAAGAATTTGATTAATTTGGGCTGCCTACCACAAGCACACTCTACAGCACCTCTGCTATGTCGCATCACAGAGGTATGAACAAGGGCTTATGCACAAAAACACATCACAGATCTGTATAAAAGTATGTACGTGTGTTTTATGTGCACATCCATTGCAGTCGTTGTGGCCAAAAACAAACTGGGTAGCACCAAAAGAAGCACCAGTACCTTTCCAAAAATCGCAGTGCACCATGCTGCATTGATGTAAATAGGCACCATTAAGATCAATGTGATTTCCATCACCGTGCAGTGCGACAGCAGACACAGGACCAATCACAATAGTGTAAATGGGGCCTAAGGCTTTTTTTTGTGCTCAAAGGAGAAGTGTTGGGAAAGTAAAACACAGCTATCACATACTGGCTCTATAGATTGAGAGCTGAGCGATCATAAACCGCTGATCGCTCAGCTCATGGTCTTCTACCTGCAGACAGAGGTGACTGTCAGTTACTGCTCCCCACAGGGATTCTCCCCTTCCCGCTCTGTGCCACCAGCGCTCATTAGAGGGACAGACAGGGGAGGAGGTAGGCACAGCTGGCTGTGGCTCTAGAAAGGCAGAGCCTGCTCTCACTCAGGCAGTGGGGTGGATCTCAACAATATTGTCTGGATCTTTCCTGGCTGCAGCATGGCTCTGAGCTGTCAGCAGATAGTGACCAGTAGCCCTCTAGATGCTGATTTGTGGCCACAGGAGGAGATTGGTAAATGTATTGTTGTGACCCAAAAGAGGACTAAAGCCAATAAAAAGCTTGGTTTTAGTTCGCTTTTAAAGTCTCCTCAAAGGAAGACGACACCTAATGATGTCACAACAGATATTACTTTTGTACCCCATGGTCCCTATGTGCGCTGTAAAGTAGCCACCGCTCCAAGCTCGCTCCCGTGATGGGCTACAATCTCACATGTCGTTTACTAATTTGTATTGAGATTGTAGCCCATCACGGGAGCGAGCTTGGAGTAGTGGCTAACTTACAACACACGCAGGGACTATGGGGAACAGAACTAGCCCCCCTCCAGACAGAAGGACAGTGTCGGCCCCAATTCAGAGATGATTTGAGGATCTACAGCCAAGTGATACACAAATAAGATACATTTTTGTCAATAGTTAGGGCACTTGAATTCGTTTTTAAGATTTAACTCCTGAGTTTAATGTCACTTTAAATTTCTGACTCCATATCTTTGAATTCATGACTTACATTTCATAAACATACAAGTCTGGTTTCCATAGGCTGTCCCCTGTAATCATTATATATTTTATTGAGCAATTCATGACTGGATCCCATGTGATATATTCATTATACCATGCCTGTAAAAAATATATATTCAGATACATTTGTAAGCTATAACAAACTAAAACAAAACAATTGACTTTTCAGAAATGTATGAGTGGATGGGTAGATGATAGATAGATAGATAGATAGATAGATAGATAGATAGATAGATAGATAGATAGATAGATAGATAGATAGATAGATAGATAGATAGACCACTTTATGGGACTACAATGGCCTGATCCAAACACAATTTAAAAAGGGAAACTATGTTATATATATTTACAGTGATTTTATTATTGGTATGTTTAATAAAGTAATATTTTCATTATGTACTTTTCTCCATTTTAGTTTTACTTAGATACATGTCGTTGCAGTCCCATAAAGTGGTCATTAAATCATTATTGTATTTACATATAAAATTAGATTTTTTTCACTGCATTATTTTAAGTTAAGGACAGGGATTCATCTAATTTTTTGCAGTAACAAATATTTTTTATGAAATGGAAAACCTGTAAAAAAGAGTGTTTATGTAATGCTTGTCAGAGAAAAGATGTATTAACCTCCACCCAGTGTATACTGTGTACTGTGTATGTGCAATGACAGCTGTCTCTTCTAACATAAAAAATATATATATATAACTTACAATGTTTACCCAGATCAATGTAGTTAAAGACTGCAAACCTGTGTCCTGAAAAATAATAATTATGTTTAAAACATTTTGCCAGGAGTTAAACAGGACACACACACAATGATTTTTTTTCTTCTATTTGATTACAAAGTTTTATTTCATTTCAGAGTTTTTGCATTAGATTGACATGTAGTTGCTGTTTTTCAATTTAGTTTAAATTCTAATAACATTTATATTTAGAAACCCAGGGAAATGCATTGATTTTCAATATTTTGTGCATCTTGTATTTTAATATATTTTCATAAAATAGAAAAAAAAAACATTTTATTATTCCACACATCTGCCCAAGTCAAGAATGAGCAAGATTAAGCCAAAACTCCCTTCCACTGCTAAGATTCAGTGCTGTCTTTCAAGTGCCAAAAGGCGGAGACTACACTTTTGGGCTTAGAACTGCTAAGGCCCCATTCGCTTGGGGAATTCTTGGATTCCTGCGGCAGAAATCTACGAGATTCCTGCCGCAGGAATCCCTGGTGTCCCCGCTCAGATGCAGCAGCTGTACCCATGACTGGGTGATAGTGGGCACATCTCTAAGTGGCAGTCCACATGTAGTTGTACCTGGTACATACGGTGTGGAGTAGATGATAGCCCCTGGATGCATCTATCCTGTGCCCCGGGACAATCATCTATTCCCCGCCCGATGCATATAGTAAAACTATGGCTACTATAGTAAAACAATATGACATATTCTGATACTATACTGTATACTAAGAATAGTAATACATATAAAAAACAAGACAGGAACCAAAATATTTATCAAATAAACTTACCATTTGAACAACACTGTATAGGGTTATATCAACAGTTACGTTGGTTACAGTAAGCCAGTTTTTTACAGGCCGAACGCTTGAGTTTGGGAAATATAGATTTTGCACCAGATCATGAAAACTGCAGGGAAACCCACCCTGACTGATACCTAGGAGGAAGGAAAACAAACAGACAGTGACTTTCCTTAAATATTCTAAGATTTGTAAAAACACAACAAAAATGCTTCCTGCTTCAATGCATTGTAGACGCTATAGGTATTGAACAGTAAATGTAGTATAGCCCACATCACCTTTTGTGATGTGGCTACTAGACATTTAGTGATTGCCAGAGCTGTAGTCAGCCTGGCTGGATTATAGTGGCATTTATCTGGTTAATTCCAGGTGTCTGGCATTGACTGAACCCCCTGGGTGGAGTGTGACTCTGCTATATTGTGGAACAGTCAATGAGAGGCACTGTAAGTGTATGTACAGTACAGCAGCCAATCACTGGGTTTCTCTCAACCAGTGGTGCATGCTGGGATAGGGTACATATACAGGAGGCATTTGCCATGTGTTCAGACTAGTCAGGACCAGCCTTGGATTAGGGCTGGGAGCTGTCCAGCCTGCCCCCCAGGCTAGGCCTGAGGCATGGGGGTGGGCAGAGGCTGGTGTGTGGGAAGTGTTTCCCTAGGGCCTCCAGTATGGAGGAGGTCTGTATTACTTCCAGAGGAGGAGAACCAGGACAATGGATGACTCTTGAAGGTACCTGGAATTTAAAGGACTTCAGGGGCATGGCTGGTGTCTCTCCTGAGGATTTGTGCTCATCTCTGCTCATCTGTTACTCCAATTACTACTCCCTGTACCACAAGTGGATTTACACTGAGATGCTTTAAAGGTCTGGTGAGTCTGGAGTATATGTCTGTTACACCCTGGATGTCTAGGATCCCTATACCATCTCTCCCCAGTGTGAAGAAGTTTCATAAAAAGTTATTCTGCATTGCATTCCTGGAGTGGGCATCAGCTTTGTGGGCACTGGAAGAGGGTGGTTGAATGCTAGTGGAGGCAGCTGAAGATCAAATCCCCTAGACAGACTAGCGATGACCCGGTTATTCCAGCGGCTCTTTCGGGGATGAGCGCTAAAGTAGTTTATAGTTTGGAGTCCTAAATCATTTTTTCTCCTGGTATCACCGTTTGTAACATCCAACTATGCATAGAGATTGTTGACATTCGGCAGCTAACCCACTCATATTCTAAAATAGAAAACTGTTATCATTCAGTATTAGAGTATTTGTTCACTTTATTGGTCTATTGTGTTTTTCCATATATAGTTACAAATATCTGCACCTATCAATCACTCTGTGAAACCAAATTATACCTATTAATAACAATTATTGTAATTATGTCTCTATAATTTATAGATAGCAGTTTTTTCTTTACTCTTTACCCGTAGTATGATCACCGCAGGCATTGTTTTGCCACGCGTTTCGGTGCGGGCGATCACACTGCAGATGGGCCCTTCCGCCCCAGATGCAGGGGAGGAATTTAGTGTGTGGTACAGTGCGTTCCAGCCGCTACCGCTCTGGAACGCACTGTAATTTATGTAAGCAAGCCCTAAAACCCTCTTGACATACATTGTTTGTTCTAATTGTCTTCTATTTACACTGTGGCTCCTCTGACTGCTGTAATCTTAAAGGCTCGTTTACACCCTTGCCCAGAATGCAAGGGATCACATACACAAAGTGAGCTTGCATTCTGGAGTGGCAGTGCCATTCAGGTCAATGGCACTGCAGAACCGCCTTCCGCCCGCAGTGCAATTGACTGCACCAGAACGTATGGTAATACAATGCCCTGTGGTCCAGTGTGGGGCAATCACAAAAAAATATGCATGCACTATTTTTTGTGGGCGGGGTGAGTGTCTGCAGTTCCATTGACATGAATGGCACTGCCACGCCCCCTCCCACCCCAGAACACAAGGAGAATTTGTGTATGCGATTCCTTGCGTTCCAGGCAAGGGCATTTTTGGGGTTAACCCCCTGAAGACTGCAAGGCATTTTGGTGTCACCCGGTGCGAAAGGCACCCCTCTTGTGACCCCACTGACTGTAAAGTTGCTCTGACCTCACCTAACTCCCCCTCCACAGATGCATACTTACCTTGATCCAGCGGCCGGAAAAAATATATATATAAAATATATATATATATTTTTTTAAGTCCCCCCGCCTCAACGTACACACGTTAGGACGGTATTGATTGTATATCTGTGCACATATTTATGGTTGTGTTAACTGATTTTGACTTGCTGGTTATGCCGATACATGCCGATACAGTTCCCATTTTGTTCATGAAGATGTGTTTCAGTTGTCTCTGCAGGCATGTTACTTGTTGTCAATTATAACTCATATGTGTTGTCCCATCATTGTCTTGGTGTCAGTGGGACTCCCAGTAAGAACTACAAATTTTCTTTATCAGTCTTACTGACACCAATTCAAGAAGGGATGTCCCTTAGATGAAGAGATCTGTGCTTTGCTATACGCTGCTGGATCCATATACTTGAATTGCCAAATGCATCATGAAAAAATATCTCTCATAACTATATGTCCTGCCATTTCTTGTTTTTGGATCGAGTGGGGAGGGGTTACTGCCATCCGGGGCTTCTTTAGAAAGATTTACCATCACTTTCTGTCATGCTGGAAACGTTTTTCCAGATAGGAAGTTAGGCGAAATTATTTTAATGGAGCCCGAATAGTAGTGTAAACCTAACTAGGGAAGGATAAGGACTCCTGTCTATACAAAACTAGAAGAAAAAAACAATTTTTGACTTTACATACACTATCATTTACTGAATGTAACCTGTAGTAACAACAATTATCAGCTCATATGATTGGCAGTTTTTGTTTTGTTGTTAACTATGTAATTGAGAAGTAACAATCTTTCCTTGTACTGTATTTTTTAGTTTCAACCATTATGTCCAGTTACCATCATCAAAGTGGCGCTCAAAAGCATAAAAAGAAAAGGGAAGACACCCACAAAACTGAAAAACTTCACAAAATCACACATTTTTTATGTGCCCAATGTTGGTCAAAGCTCTACAACAGACCCTAAACAAAGAAAAAGTTGCTGAGGCAAGCCCAGAAAGCCTTGACCCCACAATTACTGACCTGCCAGAACAGGAGCCATTTACACTTAGCCAATCTCCCCTGAATGAACCAAGTACAAGCCAGGAGTTAGGTGGGGTTATTGATGGAAATATTGAAAAAGATCATCCTGAAACTGAGCCACTTGCATCAGCTGGTGTTCACCTGACTGGTAGTGACATTTTACAATTACAGATGCACATGTGAAGAGGTTTATAATCGCAAATGGTCCTTGCAGGCCTACAGGGCCCTGATGATGAGGAACAGAGGTGTTTTTCAGTAAAATATTATGAAAAAAGCAACAAAAACAGGACTTAAACTGCCCATTACCTGGCTCTGCTATTCTTCTGAATTGAATGTTGCATACTGTGAACCATGCTGGTTATTTGGTGATGGTAAAAAACTAGACTCTGAACCAGCCCGGGCAAAGGGGATACAAAAATGGAAAGGCTTGTCAACAAAAATACAAGCTCATGAAACATCTCAAACTCATATAGTTTCTTGCATAATATATGATCAGTGGTGTAAAAAGGGAACAATTGATGAGGAAAACGAAAAATAAGGAAGGAAAAAACCCTTTGAAGAGAGGTTTTAAATAGAATAGTGAATGTTACCTTGATTATGGCTATGAACAACATGGCCTTCCGTGGCCACAGAGAAAAAATGGAACAGTGGAAATTTCCTGGCAATAATTGAGCTGCTAGCTGAGTATGATCCCATACTAAAGCTTTTGCTACAGTTACCACATGGCAAAGTAAAATAGCTTAGTCCAAATATTCAAAATTAAGTCATAGATATTTTGTCAAAGCAAGTTCCGAATTACATGACTGATGGATTCGTCAATTTTCTGTCCCTCCGTTAAAAACCCCAATAAACACACGGACTGCGCGACATGGATTTTAACGGCCACAGCAGCCCTTTTATTAAACAAACAACTTTAACAACATGATTATTAAACTGCCAAACAACGCCGGAACACCGCCAAAAACTGATAGCGCGACAGAGCAGAAGCATCCGCGTGCCGCAAAAAGGGGCCAGCCGCCTGTCCCCTCAACTCCATGTAACCCTTGACACAAGACACAGGGCAAACCGCCTCCGGTTCCACCTTGCCCAAAACGACCTCCGCCCACCGACCCAACTGATCGGTCTTGGAACGACGGATCCGCACCTCCACCCGCTCACCAGTCAAACACACATCCCCCCACTGCAAACCCCCCAAACCCAGCCTATTTTTACTCACAAGCTCACCCACCCGCAACGCCCCAAAAAAAGGCGAGCACAAACGCCACCCTGAACAGCACAGCCTCGTACCGGGAAACACACACCCCCTCCAACACACCCATAAGCTCCACCAGCAACTCAAAAGACACCGGACGCCTGGAGTCCGGGGCCACGCGACCCTTCCGAAAACCACGCATTGCCTGCCGCACCAAAAATTGCTTGGTCACGTCCTGCACACCCATAGCCTTAAACAAACAGGCAAAAGCATCCAAACGCCCATTCATCTCGGAAACCGACACACCTTCTGCAAACCCCCCGCCCAATATAGTACAACAGGAAGGACAAACGATCCCCGTCAGACAATGGGGCGGCCGCTCCACTCACCAAATCCAACCACTCCCGCCAAGCCGACGAGTACGCCGTCCAAGTGCCCGTACTTACCGACTGCCGAATCAGCGCTGCGGAGACGCACACGCCACCCCCCCAAAGATGCCCGGGACAAGGAATCCCCTGCTGCTCCGCTCCCGGTGCCAGCGACCAGAACCTGTCCCACTGAAAACGAGACAACGCATCAGAAACCGAATTCTGCACCCCAGGAACATGCACTGCTTTAACAAAACAATGGAGCTGCAAGCAAGTGAGAGCCAAATGCCGCAGCAAACGCACCACTGGGGGCGAAGAAGCCGACAACCAGTTCACCGCCTCCACAACACCCATGTTATCACAATGGAACCGAATACGCCGATCACGAAAACGCTCCTGCCAAACCTCCATGGCCACAATGATGGGAAACAAGTCCAAAAGCGCCAAATTGCCCAAAAAACCCGCCTCGCACCAATCCTCCGACCATGCCTCAGCACACCAAGCCCCCATGCCATGGCCTGCGTATCAATGATGATACCCAAAAACTGCAACTCGATCACAGGACCCTCAGTTTTGTCATGCGCCAGCGGAATACCCATCTCCTGGGCCACCCGTCCCAACGTCCTCAACAAAAAAAACGAACAGAGGGGGGAACCTGACGGGCCAACGCACAAAAAACCATCCAAGTAGTGGATGACGGACGAAATCTGAGCCACATCACGCACTACCCATCCGACAAATGTACTAAACTGCTCAAAAAAGGAACAGGAAATTGAACCCCCCCGAGGCAAACAACGATCGATAAAATACCGCCCGTCCCACCGACAACCAAGCAAGGGCTGGCTATCGGGATGCACAGGGAGCAACCGAAACGCGGATTCGATATCCGCTTTCGTCATCAGTGCCCCTTTGCCATAACGCTGCACCCACGCCACCGCCGGGTCAAACGATGTACAGGACACCGAACATAACTCTGGCTAATGGCACTGTTAACCGACGCCCCCTTCGGGTACGACAAGTGGTGAATAAGTGGAAATTTTTGAAGCTCCTTCTTGGGAACCACGCCTAAGGGGGGCACAATCAGCTCGGGAATAGGCAGGGCCGCAAACGGCCCTGTCACCCTGCCCAGCTCGACCTCCTTGTCCAATTTGGCCCGAGACCACCCAAGGATAAATAAACGCAGATTTCACATTTTTGGGGACGGAGGCCGGGACAGGACAAGGAATACGAAAACCCAGACCAAAGCCGCTCCACAAAAATTGTGCATCCTCCCTCCTAGGATACCTACTTAGATAAGGCTCCATCGCGAACAGTTTTATGGGCGTCCTCCCTTTTGCAGCAGGGTCAGACGATTGGGACTTGCCCTTCTTAAAACACCTGGATAAGCCCTGCGAGCCTCCGCAGCCAGAGCACTCATGCTTGAAACGAGAGGAGGACCCAAAATGGCAAGAGCCCTCGTTTAATTGCCAACAATAGCCCTTCCACTGTCCAACCGACTGTCCCGAGGCTCCCGAACTGCCGGCAGCCCCTGGAAAGGGCGGTCCCGGAACCCGGGGCTGCGCCATGAGCTGAATCCACGAACCGATATCATTGTGATCCCACCGCACATCAGGACGAACAGCCTTCCGCTGGCGGAACTGCTCGTCATAACGCAGCCACGCGGTGCCCCCATATACCCTGTGCGCCTCCCCGATCGCATCCATATAGCAGAACAACGCCGAACAATGCACAGGCGCCCGCTCCCCAATAACACTAGCCAAAATAGCGAACGCCTGCAGCCAATTTGACAAAAAAAAATTTGCGGAATGAGACACCAGCGACGCTTCTCTCCCTCCTCTTTCCTAATCTCCTCCACCTTACCATTCTCAATATTGAACTTCTCCAACGGCAACAAAGAAAACAGCTCCACATATTCCCTCTTCCAAATCTTCTCCCTAACCTCCGGCTTTAAATGCACCCCCAAAGCAAACATACACCTGCCCTTTCGCCGAATCCGCCAATCTAACCGCGTCATCGTCCTTCGCCGCGGAGGACCCCGCCCGACCCGGCGCTACAGCAGCGGAATCAGACCCCCCACATCTCCACGCGCGGGCGTGCCGTCAGGACCCCTCAGCTCCCCGGATTCAGGCGACGAATCCCGCTGATCCGCAGGCGCCGCCGCCCAGCGACCAGTTGCAGAAAGCCCAGGGCGCAGATCAAGCTTCTCTTCATCCGCCCTGGCCGCAGACACTGCCACTCTGGAGGGGGAGGCCAGATTCACCGGCATCCGGGAGGAAAGAGGAGCGGAGGGAGGTACAACCTCCCCACCGCCTGCAGCAGCACGGGTCCCACGCCGGGCCGCCCCTCTGCCCAGCACATCAGCAGAAGGGGAGGCCGTATGGTCCGGGTGGATGCAGGGTGGGGGAGCGGGCATGGGAAAGGCAACCCGACCCCCCCGGGTCCCGTCGACGGTGGGTATTCCTCCAAGCCCTCACTGCTGGCCCAGAGGCAGCAGGCAGCGTGCAAGGGGCTGGAGGGTCCCTGGCAAGGCTCCCACAGTGACGCCGGACCCTGGGGGAGCTAGACGGACTGAAGCGCTCAGGAGGCCTAGACCTCCTAGCACGTTTTGGGACGGGGGACGGGGGCAGGACGGGACCTCCCTGGGACCCCCTAAAACCCCGGCGAGCTGCTCCTGGAGCCACTGGGGGCCCTTTCGCTCAGCAGCCGCCCTGACCTGCGCCAATAGGGACTCCAGGTCACTCATGGAAACTTTCGTTATGTCTTGTTTAGCAGGGGGAAAAAACAGAACAACCTGCTTCCTTCGTCGATTTCCAGAAAGAGGACGTCCCTCAGCCCATGCGGCTCCTCCCGGACACCTGACTCCCACGTCCAATCAGGTAAGAGCAGCTATTCCCATTTTATTTTTTAACCCTTTCTCCCAGGACTATTCCTCCCCCCAGTCATGTAGCCCCTCCGCTTAGTCTCTCCGTGTCTGTCTTTTTGTCTGAAGTGCAAAACACACAGTTTTGCTCGTTGATTATAGATACTACTCAGGATATCTCTAAATGTGATCAAATAAGCCAGGTGCTCCGACATTTTAATTTGTTTTACTCTTATATTTGGATCTCTTTGAATAGAAACATAAGTAGCACTGTTGTGTAACTGGCTCCTTTAAGGCAAACAGGATGTTGCAACTTACTAGGGCTTCTGCTAGCCGACACTTGTGGGACATGAGTTCTTAATCCTGCTAACATGTTCCTGGACAAACTATTGAGGACCACATATCCCAGAATGTTGAGAGAGAAGAGGGGAGTGTACCCTGGCTGCAGGAGGACATCTGGATTCATTCCCCGGGTGCAGGACATGAGGGCAGGATGTCTGTGGCTGCTGTGAGTAAGACAGCTGCTGAGACTGGATTCTGTGTCCTTGTCTGCCCTGCTAGCAGGCAGAGTGACGAGCGGATCGTGACAGCTTGCCAGGCGATCGATTGTGGCCAACTGGAGGGACATGCCAGACCGCTGTTGTCACCACATCCATTGCTGATACACAGTCATCTGTATAATTGATTCAAACCTATAATCTGAAGTGCCTGACATTCTAAAGTATTTCACTGCATGCATGTTCACATTGCTATTTAGTTCTTTATGCAAAGTATAACATTTTAAACCAACTCAAGGTGTGCTGTGGATCCATGATAGAGGTTTCCTCTAGAGGAAAGACAGGGAGACCTGTTATTTTATTTACTGTAGATCACTGCTTCAGAGCGGGGAAGGAGAATGCTACACATACATGAGGCATTTCTTGGATTCAACACTATTCATGACCAGTGCGGCAGGTATAGAAAAAGAAATACTTGCATTTATCGATGATAAAGGAATTTCTCTGGATAAGTGCCATGGTCAGGGCTATGATGGTGCAGCCACAATGAGTGGAATCCATTCTGGAGTACAGGCTCGAATTTTGCAGAGAGAGGAAAATGAAATGCTCTTTATGGTCATTGTGCAGCACACAATCTTAATTTGGTCCTCCAAGATGCTGCACAGACATTACAGAGGTCTCAAACTTCATAGGTGTGGTTCGACATTTACACACATTTTTGGGGCACTGTGAGGGCGCAATGGCGGCCGCACATGCGCAAAAGCCAAATCCCGGGAAGCACGCCATAGTGCGCATGCATGAGGTGCGTGGGAAGACGCGTGGATGGATGGCGCACAGGAAGTGAGGTAGTTGCCTTAATTTAGTGACTATATAAGGATGAGCCTGCCTGCTTTACATTGCTGATGGTCTTGTCAGCTTGTGTTGCCTGTATCTGTGCCTCTGTTGATTCACCTATGACCTGTTTGACTTGGATTGCCCTGGACTACTTTTCTGATTGCAGGCTGTCCCTGACCTCGGCCTGTTCTCTGGATTTGCTCTCGCCTGCTGATTTTGTGCTTCGCTGCCCGTCTGGATCTTCTGTCTTCGTTTACCAGTGAATCTTCTGTTACACTGAAGAAATTGTGTCCAACACGTTGGTCATCTCGCTATGAGTCATTGCTTGCCTTGCATTTTCATTATGTAGATGTACTTAAAACGCTATAAAAAATAAGCCTTGTAGCTACCAAAAAAAAGTGAAAGAAAAGAGGCAATGGGACTGAAAAAAAACGAGAGTCCTTTCAATCTATATTTCTAATTGTTCTACAAACTAAAATATCCACAAACTTAAATTCTCTGTCCGTCAGTCAGAGACCATGGACTTGTCCAAAGCTACTCATTTAATTAAGACAGCAGTGGATGAGCTATCCAATTTCAGAAACAATTTTGAGGAAGTCAGAAATAATGCAGCATTGCTTGCACTGTCAGAAAGCATTTTGATGAATTATGTGTTGATGAGAGATTAGAGAACCTTGAAGAATGTTTCAAAAACAACATTTTCTATAGGTGCTTAGACATAATAATAAGT